AAAAAAAAAAAAAACAAAAAAACAAGTGCGTGCCACTGAACCTAGCTAACTACTTTAGGGACAGGGGTTTGCTTTGTTTAATTTTGTTTTTGTTTATTTTTTTTCTTAATTTATTTTTTAATTTTTTTCAGTTTTTTTTTGGCCGGGGCTGTGGGTTTGAACCCGCCACCTCTGGCATATGGTGCCGGTGCCCTACTCTTTGAGCCACAGATGTCGCCTGTTTTTTTTTTCTTTTTTTAATGTCAGATTAATGAGGTTACACATGATTAGGTTACATTGTTTGCATTTGTTAGGTAAAGTCTCTGTTGTAGTTGTGCCCCTTACATTGTGTAAGAGCACACCAATCCCCCTCCCTCTTCCCTATGTCTTTTGTTTTTTAACTAATCCTCAATTCCTATATATATGGAGGTGGTAACAGTTTTGGATTATATCTCATATGTGACTTTTTTTTTCTTACTTGCCCAAGTTTTTGCAGAGGCCAGGTACACTCATGCCTGTAATTCTGGCACTCTGGGGAGCCAAGGTGGAAGGATGGCTTGAGCTCAGGATTTCAAGACCACCCGAAACAAAATAGACCACCATCTCCACTAAAAATAGAAAAATTACCCAGGCATTGTGGTGGACACCTGTAGTCCCAGCTACTCAGGAGGCTGAGGCAAGAGGGTCGCTTGAGCTCAAGAATTTGAGGTTGCTGTGAGCTAGGCTGACGCCTCACCACTCTAGCTGGGTGACAGAGTGAGAGTATTTCAAAAGAGAAAAAAAGGTAACAGAGTGAATCTGGAGATGCACAATAACTAGGTTAAATGGTGTAAGCCTGTTTTTAATTTTATTAGGCCAATAGTGGTGCCATCTGTCCATGGGTCAACTGATTATACCTTCATCCCCTCCACCAGGTGGGTTTCATTGACTACATTGTGCATCCGTTATGGGAGACATGGGCTGACCTTGTCCACCCAGATGCACAGGAGATCCTGGACACATTGGAGGACAACCGGGACTGGTACTACAGTGCCATCCGGCAGAGCCCTTCTCCACCACCTGAGGAGGAGCCAGGGGGGCCAGGCCGTCCACCCCCACCTGACAAGTTCCAATTTGAGCTAACGCTGGAGGAGGAAGAAGAGGAGGAGACACCTACAGCTCAGATACCACCCCTAGCCCAGGATGCTCGGGAAGGGCAGGGACTGTCCACCACTGAGGAAGAATCATTGGTTCCAGATGAGACCACAGCCAAGCCTGCACTCCCAATGGAGGAACAGGACATGTGTCCAGAGATTGAGGTAGAAGAGGTGTGTTTGATGCAGCAGCCACATTCAGAAGGTGGTGCACCTGTAGCCCAGGAGGAGCTCATGTCCCAGGAAGGATCAGTGGATGCTGTAAGCTGTAGCATTCCCTCTGCCCTGTATCTTGGAAGCCCCCTTCTGCCTACCTTGCGGACCCCATCCATTTCAAAGGAGGCCCCGGGCCTCCCGGGCCTCCCCTCCACGGCAGCTGAGGTGGGGGCCCACAGAGAGTATCAGGCTGCCAAGAGGGCTTACAGTGCCTGCCCTGGGACCTCTGGGGAAGAGCCTCCGACACTCCTAGCTCCTGGTGGCTGGGAGTCCAGCGGAGACCCCACCTGAGCCCTAGTGCCCCTTCCCTGTGGCCCTCCCTGCTCCCCGGTTCCCCCCTACCCCCACAACCACCTCCTCCGCTGCCTCAAAGACTCTAAGCCCTCCTGAGAAAAAAGAAAACCGAAAAGTGGGGGGTTTTCTCTTTTCTTTTTTTCCCCTTTCCCCTGCTCCCACCAGTAGGGTCTTTTTTTGGAGGTGGGGGCTGGGGAATGAGAGGCTGAGGTCCCAGAAGGGATTTTATTTTTTGAATTTTAATTGTAACATTTTTAGAAAAAGAACAAAAAAAAAAAGAAAAAAAAGGATGCAACACAGCAACTGTAGACACTCCTGTTCCTGGTTCTCCTTTTCCACTTCCAACTCCTCCTCCCTTCCCCACCAAGCCCCCCCACTCTGCAAGTTCAGGGCTGAGTCTTCCGGGCCTCTTAGACCTCTCTGCACCTGGGGCCTCCTTCTAGGTTTTTCTTCAGAATTTTGGAGGGTCTTGATTGAAGCCAGTCAAGAATAGCCATTCTGAGCAGGGATGGGGGAAAGGGAGTAGCTTTCACTCTGGGAGGCCCCTGTTCCAGCCCCCCTTTGGCTCCTGTCCCCCCTCCCAACAAAGTCTTCCACCTCTTTTTGCACAACCCTGGCAATACTGACCAGGAGGTCAGCTAGCTAGGGAGGAGCTGTTCACTAGGATGAAAGGGGTAGTATTTTAGGGGCTGTGGGCCTGAGATTTGAGGAGGGCCTGAACCCCCCCTGCTTGCCACCTGTTTCCTTTTCCACTTTAGGTTCACTTTGAATTTTCTCCATTTTTAGGGGGTGAGGGCGGCTCTTATCCACACACACACCCCTTCCCCCTTCTAGCTGCTTCTCCTCTTGTTTCTGCCTTAACAATTTCCATGGCCATAGGAGAAGGGGGTTGCCATGGTTCCCCACCTGTACCTTGGGTGGGGCAGGGCCAGGCCCAGAGCCCCCATCTTGGCTGTCTCCCCCCTTTCCTGGCATCCTCCATACCCCCTAGACCCTGACCGTAGCCCCTGACCCTTTGCCCTAGGAGGAAGCAATAATATGCATACCCTCATCCCCTATCCTGGGCAACCATTCCCAGCCTCTCCCTATGCTCCCCAACCACCCCTCTCCCCCACCTAGCTCCTGAGCAATATGACAAACAGATGCAAGGCCATTTTTCTCCAAGCCATGGGGGACTGTTTGGAAGGAAAGACTCCCAGCCCCTGTCCCCTCAGCCCTGGGCCTGGTTCTGTCACTAGGCAGAGCAGTAACTGTCTCATTCATTGTCCCCAACCAGTCTGAGCACATGGTACTGTATTGTTCCCAGATTTTGCCTAACCTTCCATCTGTCTGTCCCCTCCCTGCCAGTGGGGAGCAACCCCTACTCCCACCCCTACAATGCTGTACAGGGTTCATTTTTGTAGTGAAAGTAGTTTCTGTCCCAACCAACAACCAGAGTGGGCCTTTTTCTTTTCTTTTCTTTTCTTTTCTTTTCTTTTCTTTTCTGTACATACTGTAAGGTTGGTTTGTAAATTATTCTACAGAGGCATAAAGGGAAAAGACACTTGTCCTTCCTGGCTGACCCAGTCAGGAAGGTAGGGAGGAGGTCTCCCAGAAGGAGAGTCTGCTTCTGCTGTATTATACAAATTGTACAATAGTCCTGGGAATGGGTGGGCTCACTACCACTGCTGTTTTTATGGGAAGTCACATCATCATCATGGGGAGAGGATTAGGCAGGGCCTGCCACCTCCCACCTCCCCAGGAGCCAGGGGGTGACTGGCGAGATAGACCCCCAGCCCCAATCAGGGCTCCTCTCCCCAGGGTCAGTGTAGGACCTGGTGAGCTGCTTGTGTGTTGTTTCATTTTGATGACCAAGTCATTTGGTCCACTGATCGATAATCAATCCTTCGATCTTGTCTCTAATTAAACTGAGGCTTTCACTGATTCTCCTGGCTGATGTAGCTTCATTCTTCACCTTATTTTTTGAAGTACTTCCTTCCTACGGTGTCTGCTGGAGCAGGTGAGGGAGTGCTCTTTCATACCTATCCCCAAGCAGATAGAACGGTGAGTGGAACTCAGCCAGAAGCAGCCCTGAAGCCTGGGCCAGGTTATACAATGGAATTTTAGACCATGCAAATTTTAAATGTCAACAAACACAAGTAGCCTTACTTCTTGTACTCAAAGCATGTCTGATACAACTTTTGCGTCCTTCTAAAACCTAGCAGTTACTTCTGGAAACCTCAAGGGGGCCTGAGGGATGCCACCTCCATTACCTGGCTTCCAGGCTGTGATGAAATGTCTCAGGTCAAATTCTGCCTAGCAGACATTAAACTTGATTATCAGGCACAAAAGAATTTACATCTATAAGTTCCATAGATTCCTAGTATTCTGTCCGTGTTAGGTTTGCAACTTTCACGTTGCATTTTTAGAAAAAGAAAGAAGCCACCTGTGGTGGCTCATGCCAGCAATCCTAGCACTTTGGGAGGTTTGACATATGTGAATTGGTTGAGCTCAGGAGTTTGAGACCAGCCTGAGCAAGAGTGAGACCGCATCGCTACTAAAAAAAAAAATTAGAAAAACTGGCTCAGCGCCTGTAGCTCAAGTGGTTAAGGCGCCAGCCACATACAGCAGAGCTGGCAGGTTTGAATCCAGCCCAGGCCTGCCAAACAACAATGACAAGTACAACCAAAAAACAGCTGGATCAATGTACAAAGTTATGATTTAGTAAGAAATAATTAAAAAAATAAAAAGAAAAAAATAAACAAAAAATAGCCGGGCATCGTGGCGGGTGCGTGTAGTAACAGCTGCTTGGGAGGCTGAGGTGAGAGAATTGCTTAAGCCCAGGAGTTAGAGGTTGCCCTGGGCTGTGATGCCACGGCACTGTACCCAGGGTGACAGCTTGAGGCTCTGTCTCAACAACAAAAAAGAAAAACTGAGGCAAGAGTTTGAGGTTGCTTTGAGCTATGATGATGCCACAGCACTCAACAGAGTGAGACTCTTTCAAAATAAATAAATAAATATAGTGTAAATGAAGAAAGAAAGAAAGAGGCTCAATGCCTATAGCTCAGTGAGTAGGACGCCAGCCACATATACCAGAGATGGCGGGTTTGAGCCCTGCCCAGGCCTGCTAAACAACAATGACCACCGTAACCAAAAAATAGCTGGGTGTTGTGGCCGGTGCCTGTAGTCCCAGCTGCTCAGGAGGCTGAAGCAAGAGAATCGCTTAAGCCCAGGAGTTTGAGCTGTGTGACCACCATACTCTACTATGATACCACCATACTCTGCTGAGGGCAACATGATGAGACTCTGTCTCAAAAAAACATAAATAAATAAGAAAGGAAGGAAAGAAAGAAAGAAAAGACGTATCTTGAAGGCAGGATTCTATGTTTCTTCAAGCCTATAATTCTAGGTAGCAGACAAATTGAAGCCTCAAAACAGATGGACACATGATGACTCTGGGTTTATACTCTGTTTTTCTAATCAGGGCATGCAATGAATCTCAGATTTTTTTTTTTTTGAGACAGAGCCTCAAGCTGTCCCCTTGGGTAGAGTGCCATGGCATCACAGCTCACGGTATCCTCCAACTCCTGGGCTCAAGCGAGTCTCCTGCCTTCGCCTCCCAAGTTGCTGGGACCCTAGGCGCCCGCCACAACACCTGGCTATTTTTTTTCGGTTGCAGACGTCATTGTTTGGCGGGCCCGGGCTGGATTTGAACCCGCCACCTTAGGTGTATGTGGCTGGTGCCTTAGCCACTTGAGCCACAGGCGCCGAGCTGAATCTCAGATATTTTAACCAATCTACATATTTGGTGGGCTTGATTGGTTTTTTTTTTTTTTTTTGATGAGGATTGAATGAGCTGATATATGTTAAACTCCTAAAAGCTTGAGTGTTACACTTCTTTTTTTTTTTAAGAAATGGGGTCTTGGGGCGGCGCCTGTAGCTCAAGGAGTAGGGCACTGGCCCCATATATTGGAGGTGGCAGGTTCAAACCCAGCTGCAAAAAAAAAAAAAAAAGAAAGAAAGAAAGAAATGGTATTTTTCTGTGTTGCCCAGGCTGGTCTCCAGCTCAAATTCCTGGGCCCAGATGGTCTTCTCCCCTCAGTCTCTCAAGTAGCTGGGAGTCTAGGTATGGCCATCGTGCCTGGCCCAATCTACATATATGAATACTGCTAATTAGCAACCCTCTCGTTTTACCAGTAAAACATTTCTGACATTCATTATGGTAATGTAAAAAACTTCTAGGATTTGACTAATGTATAGTAGAAATGTTTGTGATGTGGACTTTGCTTAGAATACTGGCTGCCGGCTCGGCGCCTATAGCTCA